TTCGCATTCCACTATATCGGGTGACACACCTAAGCAAAGAACATATTTTGGGGATAAAAATTTAATATGTATATGTACACGAATATCAAGATTGACTTACCATTTTGTCCCAATAAACACTCATTCCTAGAGTTAAAAAAATTCTTTCCATTTCGTACATATTTGAATGTGGAATCCATCTGATCATTTGCCTCATTTTTCGAGAAGTTGTCTTAAGAATTCAATTATTGACTTCAAATTAGTTGAATTACGCAATCAATGAGATTCAAGATGACTCACTGCAAAATTTGTTTAAGACTTTTCTGTTTAACTTTCCCATTTTCCCATAAACACGAAGTGTACCCTCCTTTCCGTAAGTTCAACTTAAACAGAACGAAATAATTAGATTTTTAATACAAATTTAAAACAACATTATAATTTTCGATGCAATTTTATCATCTAATTTGGTGGCGGCTAAGTTGTTTTCCATCAGAATTGCAATTCAAAGTAATAAAACATACGTGCAACTGTTATAGAACGAAATAAATAGATTTTTAATGCAAATTCAAAACTACATTATTATTATTTTCATCTAAATTGGTAGCAGCTTAGTTGTTCTTCATGCGAATTGCAATTCAAAGTGATAAAACATATAGCGAATTTTTTCATTTAAAGGCTAATAAACGCAAATAAAAGCTTCCTTTCTTAACTTAAGTGGAAAAGTTAAAAATAACATGATTCTTTCCGTCCTCAAACCAGATAAAAGGAAAGGTCACTCCTACAAAAACCGAAATATAAATTTCTCCGATACTTAGAAATCAAAGTAAAATTGTAAATCAGAAAATTTAGTAACCGTCGTAATACAGTTTCGCATGTCTAACCTGATCCAACATATCTGAATTGACATTTCAGGGCAAATTTAGCAACACAAATATCGTTGTATCCACAGAAACGAAGTTCGCGGATTTTTGTAGCGTCACTGATTGTTATATTATAGTAACCTGTGAGAAATGTGAATATTTTAGTGGTAATATTTGAACGCAAACCATTGCCAGAATGCCCAGTACAGGGATCATCGAACAATTTACCGTTTGCATAGCATTTGTTCTCTTTTATAGCAATTTGCCATATCTCATAGTCAGTCGAACTAAAGAATTTCTAAAATATAAAAAGAAATCAAACGCTATTTGCATTAAACCTCTCCTTACGCCAACTCCGCCAGTAGCATATGTTGGAGGTTCGGATTTTCCAGATGGTGTTGACACGATTCTTGAACAAGTGGAATGAGGCAAATCTGAGCTCTCTCTTTCAGCAATAGGAGTTAAATGCAGCAAGGTAATTGTGAAGAGAATGCAAATCATGATTTTGTATAGGAGAGTTATCATTTGCCTCAGTGTTATACATGGCAATTGAATAATAACTTGCATATGTTCATTTTGATGAAACGTAAGCATTTATAACATTCGACAAAAGATTTTTATTGGATCAATGACGCTAGGCATACAAAATCTACTAATGTATATCGGCTTTATCTTCCACAATGGTTCAAGATTATTCGAAGAGAATTTTGTAAAGAATCATCAGCAATTTAAGAGAAACCAAAGCAAAAGAGGACACTTTGCTGGACATACGCTAGGTTCTACAGTTTGTTGCTTTATTTTCAAACTGTCTAATCATGAATGCAAATGGACTGTTTATTCGTATTTTCGGAAATGTAAATGCCCTACACATTTTTGAATCCGCAGCTGGGTGTCAATCGTGCGCGGACATAAGTATTCACTTGTGAATCTCTAATTGCAACACCTGGGAGTTTGGGTAACGATTACTTCTGATAGTGCCAAATCTGACAAAATCTATTGTTCTAATCGTGCATCTCACTTTAAGCAAAATCATGATTGTCCAACACATTTTAAAATATTAATAGCCGGTTAATGGTGTGTATTACGAAAAATGAGGAGATGTGGAATGTGCTTCACATTATTTTAGTTGACATTTAATAATAAGCAGTAGTTAGAATTGTGACTATCAAAATGCAGCACTGAGCAGTGTAGACTTAAGCAAAATACATATTATTTAAAACAGTTAGAAGTGTGCTTTTACTTTTCATTTAACGAATTATGAGTTTAAATGTTGCCATTTTACATCATATATATATATATATATATATATATATATATATGCCGACCCACTATATCGTACATTTTTAAATAATAAATTTCACTTTTATGGATGAAGGAATGACTTTAAACGGGTTTTATCGACACTTACGGCCTTTTAGGAGAACACTTTTTAACGATTTGAATTGATAGCCCCAAAATTATTAATTAAAAAATCCCCTCTCTTTAAAGTCGAAATTGATGTCTGGGCTTGTTTCAAGTGCAAATAAATAAGTTATAATATTAAATACACACATTTACCACGACTTTCCCTTTTAAACAATCGCTTGAAAATGTATTTCTACAATAATAATTTCAACAAAGCAAAGATATTTCTTAAGATTGACTTTATACATTAGGGAAAATTCGGTAATATAACTTTCTTTCTCAACTGCACTGTTCAAACCCAACTGCACTGAAAATATATTTTTACTTTCTCTGCATTAACAAGTTGCAACAAATAAGGCATGTAAGTCTATGTAAAAAATATCAGATTTCATCTCGTTTTTGTTTTTTTAATAAAAATATACTAATTTTATTTTGGAAAAAAATATATATTTTTCTTTTGCGTCAAGTTGATTCTTATATATTTTCTACTTCTTACCATTATTCATATCATGTTTTCAAAAGCTGTGATTTATCTAGGGTAATTTTAACAGAGGAGCGAAACAACTTTAGGAAGCTCACAAAATGTGGCAAATACAAGATTTAAGCAACATCCCCAAGCAAAATTTTCTAAAGATCGTTCTCATACCAAGTAGCATAGTTTCACGTTGCATCAACTCAGATGATAATGATGATGCTTTGTAACAGCAAGCCTATTAATCGGTCAAACAGCAACCAGAGTCCAATTATGTCACGTCTTTGGTAGAGTTCTATTCATCTACCACCGAAATTATTGGATTATACATTAAGACTATTGTTGGTTCACATACTGGCTTTGAAGCATTAGGACAGGGAGTTGAAGATAAAGCTAATCATAAAGTGTGATTTTATTATAGGTAAATACGTACCATTTCAAATCGTTGAATCGCTCTTCCATGGAAAACTGAACGCTGCCTCTGAAATATATATATATATATATATATATATATCAAATGGCAGGCTTTATGATATTTTTCATTAGCCCTTAATCTTTGGCTTCAGCTTCCTCCAAGGGTGGGGGTTCCTCTATAGCAGTTAATTAATAGCAATTCATTAGCTGTCTTATTGCTTACAAGTATTTTTGGCTTTCCGTCCTTGTCTTTAGGGCTGGACGCCAAATCAAGTGGGTCTTCTCCATTTCCTCATGTAGGTTACATAGAGGGCATGTGGGTTGAGTGTATACTTCTAATCTGTGAAGGTGTTTTGCCAAGCAAACAGCTCATAGACCTTTCTTCATTCCTATATCTCAGCTGTTTTAGGTGTCTCTCTGTTTCCAATAGTGTCTATTGCTGACTGTGAATATCGTATCCAGGCAACATAATTGGCAAAGTGCTATCCTAATAGCCTCTATTTCTCATTCAAAAGCGGATCTACTGTATCCCACTGCTGCGTAGAAAGAGAAGAGTTCAGAATTGACACCTGCACCAACGTTTGCTTGGCTTTCTATGAATGACCCATCAGTGAAGACTTGGAGCCATTGATCTCCAGGATAGTTGACATTGATTGTCTCAAGGAACAGTGAGCGCATTTGCTCTGGAGGAGTGTTTGATTTCATGAAGAAGTCAAGCAGTTGGGTGCAACACACTACATCAATGTCTGCTAATGGGTTCATGGGTAGGGAGAAACTTTTTAGTTTATCATCGATTTGTAATGCTTTCTTCAGTTCTATGACTTTCTGTATTAGACCAGATTGCGTTTTCAGATGTCTGTGTCTATTCTTATGGGTGTTGAAGAACTTGTCCATGGGAATGCGCAGTAGCTTCTCATACAGGATCAAGGCCTTCTATTTGATAAGGGAACATATTGTGGTGCTTCCTGTAACTAGGAGCATTGCATCAGTGGGTGTTGATTTTATCCCTCCAGTAATAACTCGTAATGCTTGGTTGTGTGCCTTCTCGAGGGGTTTGAGAGTCACCTCTGTGGCTGTAATGAGTTACTCACAGCAATACAACATTATTGGCTGAATAAACATCTTGTAAGTGCTGTTGAGAGTTGAGCGTGCACAGCCCCATACGCTACCAGCAAGAGGCTTCAGTACATTCAGTCTATTGGAGACTCCATCTGCTATTTTAGCAATGTGACTTTTCCACGTTAGCTTTGTGTCAAACGTCATTCCGAGATATGTGAACTCATTGGTTTTTCCTATGGTAGTATCCTTGTACCTTAGATGCGGGTTTATGCTGTGGTCAGCCAAAGAAAATGTTTGGAATGCAGTTTTTCCGATGTTAATTACCATTCCATTGTTGTCACACCAGTTTGCTAGTAGTTTAAGTGTACTATTAAGAGCACTTTCCGTCCTCTCCTGAGCGTTTTTCTCACAGTTTAGGGCACTTTCTGTCCTCTCCTGAGCGTTTTTCTTAGGGGGTTGTCGCACCAGTTTGCTAGTAGTTTAAGAGCACAATTTAGGTTCCGTCCTCTCCTGAGCGTTTTTCTTAGGGGCGGAATACCATTGATCAAGATCATCTGCATAAATTAAGCACTTGATGCCCGTGACTGTCTCTACCAATTCTACTATGTCATTGATGAAGACATTGAAACTAGTGCAGCATGTGACAGCTCCCTGCGGAAGGCCTGATTGTAAAAGATTGGATTTTGATAGAGCATTTCCGTATCTGACTTTACACGATCTTTGTCCAATGAATGCTTTTATCCAGTTTAGCATGTTATGCTTAATACCAATCTTTGCCAATTTTAGAATTAGCTTCTCTTTATATAATAAGTCATATTTTGATTTTAAATCGACGAAAACAGCCGTAAGGATATTTCTTGCACCAAGGGCATCTTTGTTGTGTTGGGAGAAAGTGACTACTTGTTAGTTCGTTGATCTTCGTGGCCTAAAACCTGCTTGTTCTCTCCTAAGAATATTACTGGTCTTAAGGAACCAGGTCAGCCTCCTGTTAACCATTCTTTTCATAAGTTTAGCCAGGTCAGCCTCCTGTTAACCATTCTTTTCATAAGTTTAGCCTGAGTGCTTGTGAGGGAGATAGGTCTATAGTTGTCAAAGTTGCTAGGGCTTTGAAGATAGGGCTATAGTTGTCAAAGTTGCTAGGGTCCTTGCCATTTTCCTATAGTTGTCAAAGTTGCTAGGGCTTTGACCTTTTTTAGTACTGGTATTACTATGGCCACTTTCCATTGGTTAGGTATGAGACTGGTCTCCCCGATTTTGTTGTAAAACGTCAGCATGGTTTCCTTGGCTTTTGGTTCCATTCTAATTAGAAATTGCGGATGAATACCGTCTTCACCAGGAGACTTCTTGCACTTGAGCTGTTTTATCGCAGCATTAAGTTTACTTTTTGCACTTGAGCTGTTTTATCGCAGCATTAAGTTCAAATGGTCTGAATGGTCCAGTAAGTACATTATTTGGTGAAAGGTCTGCATGGTTCAGTAAGTACATTATTTGGTGTTGGAAGATCGGAAATGGTTCAGTAAGTACATTATTTGGTGTTGATGAAGGTCTGAATGATTCAGTAAGTACATTATTTGGTGTTGCTGTCTTCCTTTATTTCACCAAACTGTCTTACTTGTATCCTTTAAATCTCTTGAAGATTTTCTGACAAAAGGGTTTTCTAGAAATCTCTTGAAGATTTTCTGACAAAAGGGTTTTTCTTTTGCTTGTGCCAAACTGTCTTACTTGTTTCTTTATATCTCTTGAAGAGTCAACAAAAGGGTTTTTCTTTTGCTTGTGGGAATAGAACCTCGTAGGGTTTTTCTTTTGCTTGTGGGAATAGAATCTCGCAAAGGGTGTTTTTCTTTTGCTTGTGGGAATAGAACTTCGCAAAGCTGTTAGCTATTTCGGTGTCGGTGGTAGGCAATTAGCTGTTTAAGCGTATTGGTTCTTTCTTGGGTCTTTCTCTGTTGTTTTTTAGGTTTCTCAGAAATTTGAAAGTGCTTTGGCTAACATTTTGATAGTTGATATTTGAGATGAACTTGTCGAAGGAAGTACGTTTAGCTTGTAAGATGGCTTGCCTTAGGACAGCTGATTGCCGTCTCCAGGCTTTTACGTCTTCCGTTCTTCCAGTCTGATCAGCAGTGTTGCAAAGAGGTCCCGCTTTCTTTTCAGTTCCTCAAGGTGTTTAGACCAAAACACTCGATAGTGTTTAATTTTGCCTCAGGGATTAGTTTTCTTTGCACATCTGATCATAATATTCGTGATAGCATTGCAAAGTTTGTCAGGATGTTGGTTGAAATTGAGGGGACTTGTGTGAAGCCTCTGAAATGAAATTGGAATAATTTGACAGACATCCTTGTTTAGTACGCATCGGATTAAATTGAGGAGTTGTTTATTGTTCCTATAATTAATATATTATTTAATTATTTGTTAACGATAGCATTAAACAAATTACGTGAATAAAATAGAGCGTGAGCCAATTATTAAGTAATTATAACAATAAGGTTTTCTCGAGAACATTTGAACGACTGTTAAATTAACTAAAATGTGTGCCTTCTCGAAGGGTTTGAGCGCCACCTCTGTAGCCGTAATGAGTGGCTCACAGCAAAACAAAATTATTGGCTGAATAAACATCTTAAAAGTGGTGTTGAGAGTTGAGCGTGCCTAGCCTCATACCCAACCAGCAAGATGTTTCAGTACATTTAGTTTATTGGAGACTCGTTCTGCTATTTCAGCTATGTGACTTTCCCTCGTTAGCTTTGTGTCAATCGTCATTCCGAGATAAATGAACTCAGTGGTTTTACTTGTGTAGAATCGTTGTACTTTAGAAGCAGAGTTTATGCTGTGGCGGGCCAAAGAAAATGTTTTGAATGCAATTTTTGCGGTGTTGATTTTCATTCCATTGTTGTAGCACTAGTTTGACAGTAGTTTAAGTGCACGATTTAGGGCACTTTCTGTCCTCTTCTGAGCGTTTTTCTTAGGGGGTTGTCGCACCAGTTTGCTAGTAGTTTAAGAGCACAATTTAGGTTCTGTCCTCTTCTGAGCGTTTTTCTTAGGGGCGGAATACTATAGAAAAAATCATCTGCATAAAGTAAGCACTTGATGCCCGTGACTGTCAATACCAGTTCGGCTACGTCATTGATGAAGACACTGAAAAGAGTGCAATTTGTGACTGCTCCCTGTGGAAGGCCTGTTTGCAAAAGATTAGATTTTGATAGAGCATTTCCATATCGCCTTTACATGATCTTTGTCCAATGAATGCTTTTATCTAGTTCAGCATGTTATGCTTAATACCAATCTTTGGCAATTTTAGAATTTAATTCTTTCCCATACTAAGTCATATGCTGTTTTGAAATCGACGAAAACAGCCACAAGGGTATCTTTGATGTGTTAGGAGAAAGTGGCGACTTGTTGGTTAGTTGATCTTTGCGGCCTAAAACCTGCTTGTTCACTCCTAAGAATATGGTTTGTCTAAAAAAACCAAGTCTGTCTCCTGTTAACTATTCTTTCCATAAGTTTAGCCAGCACTCTTGTGAGGGAGATAGGCTTATAGTTGTTAAAGTTGCTAGGGTCTTTGCCCTGTTTTAGTATTGGAATTACTATGGCCAATTTCCATTGATTAGGTACGAGACTGATCACCCAGATTTTGTTGAAATCGTCAGCACGGTTTCCTTGGGTTTGTTTTGTTGTAAAGCGTCAGCATGGTTTCCTTAGCTTTTGGTACACATAATTAGAAATTCCGGATGAATACCGTCTTTGCCAGGAGAATTAGAAATTCCGGATGAATACCGTCTTCGCCAGGAGATTTTTTGCACTTTAGCAGTTTTATCGCAGCATTAAATTCGTAAGGTCTGGATAGTTCAGTAAGTGCATTATCTGGTGTTGTTATGTCTTCCTTTTTACAATAAACTGTCTTAATTTTATCTTTAAATCTCTTGAAGATTTTCTGACGAAAGGGATTTTCTTTGGCTTGTGGGAATAGAACCTTGCAAAGCAGTTAGCTATTTCGAAGTCGGTGGTAAACAATTTGTTGTTTAAACGTATTGGTTCTTTCTTGGGTCATTCTCTGTTGTTTTGGAGATAACCTAGGAATTTGAAAGTGCTTTGGCTATCACTTTGATAGTTTATATTTGAGATGAAATTGTCGATGGAAGCCTGTTTAGCTAGTAAGATGGCTTATCTTAGGACTCTTGTCTACCGTCTCCAGTCTGTTCAGTAGTGTTGCGAAGGGCGTCCCACTTTCTTTTCATTTTCTCAAGGGTAATGTGAAGGGCGTCCCGCTTTCTTTTCAGTTCCTCAAGTTGTTCAAGGGCGTCCCACTTTCTTTTCATTTTCTCAAGGGGTTTAGACCAAAACACTCGATAGTATTTAGTCTTGCCTCGGGGAATCGTTTTATTGCGCATCTAATCATAATATTCGTGGTATCATTGTAAATTTTGTCAGGATGTTGTGACTTGTGTGGAGTTCACTGTCTAAAAGGTTTGTGAATCTAGGCCAGTCAACCTTCTTGATGTTCCATGATAACTTTGTTGACACTTTCCTTGTCATGCTTTTGCTGCCGATGGGAATACTAGCAATGACTAGTTTGTGACCAGAATCAGAATCGTCAATTATTTTGCGGCGTGTATGCTCACTGATGTCGCTAGAAGCCAGGACCAAGTCAGGAGTTGTTCTGGTTCCATTGTAGTGCAAATATGTAGCCAGATCCTCATTGTTGTAAATAAGTTCCAGAGGGTTGCTGTTTAGCATGCCTTCGATTTATTTTGCAGCAACGATTGTATTCTTATAGCCCCATCTGGTGGAATGGGCGTTGAAGTCGCCTATTACTACGGTTTTGTATGCGCTGTTCAGAAAATCAAAGTTGGAACAATTCTGTGGTGAATTATAGACTGTGTATATCTTGAAGTGGT